ATTGTCACTTCTCACTGAGTATATAGTAATTTTTTCAACATTAGAAAACAAATCGTTTTAGATACGCTCAAGAAGTAGTAATTGCCATTCGTTCAATGATATTAGTATTAATAATCATTTGTACGTGGGCGATGGTAGCTAGTGGCCTAACAATTGTAAGCGTAAGTATAATTTTATACCTTTTACTATCGTTTCGCGATAGTAAAACGACAATTCTACTGGAGAAAAAGATTACATGTATGAATGTGTTTACATTTTATTTATCTTAGTATTATTATAAACCTAGCGAAGTACGTTAACGGACAAAATACAATTTATGGCTCTATGTATATCTGCACTTATGGAAGTTTATGCATGTGCTTGGCCATCCGATTATTTAAAAGATACGGTAAGTTGGATTCCATTAGCGTTTACATTTAAATAATTGGGTATAATTCGAAAGAAATAATTGTAACTGTATATTATATCATTAAGTTATGGACCATTATTATCTATATTATTTTAAATTTAAATTATTTCTTTTCGCTCGATTTGGCTCCCTATTCAGTAAAATAAACTTTTTATTTCTTATTTAAATATTAAAAATTTTTATTAATTTTTTATAAGAATATTATAATTGTTAATAAATAATTACAAAATATATATAATAAATATACGTATAAAATTAAATGTTTTAAAAATATAATATGTTAAATCGTTTGTATTAAGTTTTTACTTTTTTATAATAAAAAATGATAATTTTCTGTGTCACATATTTATTTACGATATTTTCATTTTACGTGTTTTGACTATACTGTTTCGGCCATATTATTATATTAAAATATGCATATTACTTATTAGAGTGCCAATGTTGCGGAAGCAATTTACGAATCATCGTGGTACAATCATGGCAAAATTTTTCAAAAAAATTTAAATTTTATCTTGCTAAGGAGTCAAACACCAATAACCGTCTCTGTTTCTATCCTTCCAGCTTTATCGTTACAATTTTATGCATCGGTAAGGTTTTAGAAATTAAAAGAATTTTTACATTTTAATATTTTACCTCAGTATAACTTTTTACATTACAAAATCAAATATTCAATAATCAAACATTTTGGAAATATTTTATGTAGACTCTGTCTAAAAATTTAAATTTTGATAAATTACAAAAATTTAATTAAAATTTTTAATTAAAAAATTTTTTTTAATTTTTATTAAAATTTTCCATTTTTTCTTTTATATAATCAAATAATCATACCATTATATGTGCGTACGCGAAAAATATATTTTTTATATGTAAGAAATTTAATCGTTAAACATAAACGTGTATCATTATTAATGCTTCCGAATGTATACAAATTTTTTGTAAAATTTTATATACATATTTTTTATTCTAAAGCTAGAAAATATAAACTAAAGCTATCATTTTATATATTTTAGTACGCATCAACAGCTTTTTCTTATTTAATGACATTGCGAATGGTATTTGTGGAGAACAATGGATCAAGAAATAAATTTTAAAGCTTTCTAAATTCTTTTAATTTTTATTTTTCAATAGTACATATTATATTTTGCATAATAGAAGATATTGTAGTATTGTTAGCACCAAAAAATTCTGATATACTTGTTACTTTTTTCACATTAGTAAATATTAATTAACATAAATAAAAAAAATTTTAAGGTCATTGCATTAATTGTCTTTTTCATCTTTCCAAATCAATTTTTTATAAAATTAATTTTATTATATCGAACTACACCTCCTTCAATCTGCAAATGAACGTACGTCTGCGCTTTTTTGATAAAATACAACCCAACGTTGTGCATCATTGGTGGTTGCTAGACATGCGCTCCTCCCAATACTTTGCCGCGCGCATAGCAACCGCAATCAGCACGCTGGGCTGTCGTTTCTTCACCGCTGATTCGCCACAGAACTTTACTAATGAATTTTTCGTTAATGATTAAGAACTAACAAAACGATAAAGGACTTTGCTATTCAATTTTATTCATTCTATGTTTCCACGAGAGATGGCACGGTAAACATGTTATATAATGGTCTATTTAAAAACTATTTAAAAATAAATATTAAAATAAACTGTCTTTAAGCTGATGAGATTTCCAGTGTTTAAAAATAGCTTAAATTAAAAATTAGAATTATATATTAGAGAATAAAACGTTTCTATAATTTCAGTATTTTTTAAATAGCGATTTCCGTCATTCGTAAAAATTCAGTATATATAATCGAACCGTATTGACTGCATTACAAACAAAAATACTTCTCTACGCTTAGCTGACTGATCTAACGAGAAGAGTAAGTCTAAATATAAATAATTATCTAAAACTGAATATTATAATAGGTAAAAAAATGTATCTTTAAATTTATATTTCAGAGTTCTACGATTGCTAAGATCTATATTATTCATTGTATTATTATAATCAAACCGTCGAGTCGCGAAAGATTACATTAAGTATTTTGCTGTGACGTCAACAAATTGTACAAACTATAGTCATCTCTGTTCCTGGTTTATTAAAAATTTTAATTTCTCAACACTATATGCTTCTGTAAGAGAATACTTTGCGATCTTTAATCATATACAGGTAGATATTAAGTAATCTAAGAGATTTTAAAGAATGATTCCTCACACAAATTCAAGACAAAAGCTTCGTATGACCATATATATCCGACTTATATAGTTTCAAAGATACAGGGTGCTAAAGTTGAAAGAAAAATTTTAATTTTTCTAAAATTTCAAAAACCATTCAGGTTATTTAGATAAAACTTTGTATATATATTTCAAGTTTCAGTTATTGGAATTAGGCATATATATAGCCGCTCCTCTAGATGTTCAGATTTCAACCTTCTACTGGAGGAGCATGAAAAACTTAATCTTTCTCTGTTACAGCTAAAACTCCTTAATCACCGAAACTTCTCGATGCAAAAAACCTTCGTTTCCTTAACTCAGTTGGATTTTACCGTATCTGGATACATATTCTTTTTCAACGTTACCATAACACCGCTCGCAGTTCTAAGTATACCGAAGAGGTACGTAAAAATGTCGCACCCGCAGTAATCGAGATCTACCAATGATTTTATCATGATGAACAATCTCCCAATAAATAATTCAGATTCCATTATTTTAATAAACATTGACTTCATTAATGCACTGCAGTAATTATTCAAAAAACTACAATTTATAGAACCAACCGCCAAACGTGTACATCAAACAACGGCAAATGCGAAATCGCATATATTTAAAATCTAGCAGTTCACTGCCCGACCTTCCCTTATCGATACTGGCTTTCTCGAATATTTTTCCGCGAATAATAAGTATAACTTAGTCTCAGAATTCCAACGCGAAGTTAAAGAAACGCAACATTATCTCCAAAATAGGTTTGCTATACCTATAGCCTATTGCATCGTTTCACCTATTTCTTTCATGTGGAACATAAAATCCTCCCTTTTCTCACAATTACATACACAGATTGCGTGAGCGTGAAGACCATATTTCTAACACCGTTGTGTAGCATTTCAGTGAAACATATGTTACTTCCTGCACACTTATTTCCTATTGTAGACAAGACATGCAACAATAAAATTATTAGGTAGAGTACAATGAAGAAGCTATTGCGTGTTGAAAGTCTATAAGTTAAAACTGCTTTACTGTAGTTCGTACAGAAATACAAAAGTATGTTATATATAATAGAATAATAGACAAATTATAAAATAATGTATGTTTCTCTCCAATATTTACGAGGAAAATAGATGTACATATGGTTTATTTATGGTTATTTCACAATGTGCTTTTTGTTTTCTGTTTTCTGCTTTTTGCTATTTTTTACATCTTGTCTTTTTGTTTCTTATCCGATTTTTTGTTTTATGTCGCCCGAGATAAAAGTTAACGAACTTTGGAAGAAACAGGAAACACGTAGCAAGAAATGCAATTGTCGATAAAACGGTTGCAAAAGGGAAAAAAGCAAGAGATAAAAAGCAAGAAACAGGAAACAAAGAGCACATTGTAGGGTTTAGAATCTCATAGAGAGAAATCTTTTTTAAATTCATTTCTTACTTTCTTATATCTAAAATATACATGAACATGTTAGATGCGTTCATGATTTCCCGAACATTTTCGGGAAATTATGAAGAAATCTTACTACGCATGCATGTACCTTTACGTTCTTACGAGCAGTGAATATACGTTATAGCTTATTAAATTTAAACATGCAGAGCTATTCGTCTCTCACATGTACCATATGCGTCATAATAATTTTATTTATGTATACCCCACGCGAAATGGAAAAACGCAAGCATACATGTTCTCGTACAGTAACTCCCCTATACTACACCCTTTCATTATAATAAATACTTGCAAATGCGTGTGGAGCGTATTCATTACGTAACTGCTCGCGGAAGAAGTTTTATTCCCTGTAATATCAATTTGCAATATAACATACGTAGCATACCTCAGTCATGCGAAGAAAGGTAACGTTAAAAGAAGTGATCTCTGTAGTGAAATTAAGTTTGTTCCTAGTTTGGAGTTGGCCTGAGTCACATAATGCAACAAAATTAAAAATGTTCTATGTGAAACTGCATCATTGTTTGGGCATAATTATAGTAATAGGTCTACAGATACCATTAATATATGGTATAACAAATAATCTTAACGATCCTGCTGTCTTAACAAAGCAAGTTCTTATGTTAAGTAGCGTTATTCACGCTATGTTTAATTTTATTCTTCATATAATTAACTACCATCATATACAGGTAATCAAGATTTATCTATTTAATATAAAAAAATTCATCCAAATTAATTAAAAACTCACGTTTTATTACTTATTTCTATATATTAGTAACAATTATTTCAAGTAATTACTTACAGAATGTTACTTTCGAAATGATACAGTTTTGCGACTTGATGAAATTACATGAAGAAATTGTGATTCAACGATACATTGACAAATGTATTATATTTCATGGTACATCTATATTTATTTTCTACTGCCTTACGTTCACAGCTATCGCAGTGATGCCTATTTTAGAGCATCAACCATTTCCAACAGCTGCCGAATATCCATTTGATGTATCTTATCAACCGTTAAAAACAATAATTTTTATACAACAATCTATGGCCGGAATAATAGTAGCAGGACAACTATGCATAAATGTTTATATGGCTCTGTTGCTGTGGTTTGCATCGGCAAGATTTGAGATGCTGACTGAAGAACTAGAAAAAACTACAAATGTCTATCAGTTGTTCAAATGTATTGAAAAACATCAAAAATTACTCAAGTAAATGCCACAGCAATTGTCTTACGTGAGAATAATCTAGTTCAAAAGTTTTAAATATAATCCTGACGTAATGCATTTATTCAGGTACGCAAAGGAAGTTACAATTTGTGCTGGTCCTTTTGCATTTGTAACTATATGTTGTAGCACGGTTGGCTCAATAGTAATATTTCTTTTGTTCATTAGTGTAAGTACATGAAACATTATATTACACACGTATAATTCTTTTCTTAAATTTATGCATATAAATACATAATAAATATTATGATCATCAAACATGCTTACAAATTTTAAATCATCTTAATAAACACGATTGAGTCATTCGTTTGCTGTGCATTTGTTTTCTTCGAAATACTGACTGTGTTCCAAAATTTACTGCCAGCGCTGAAAATCTACGTATACTATATATTTTCAGCACTGGCAGTGAATTTTGGAACAGCTACTAAGAGCAGCTAGCTAAATAATAGTCTCTGTTCTTTCCTTACAAAAAAATTTTATATTTAAAAAACAGGCTTAATGCGCGTTACCTACATATCCTTCAATAAAGGTAAAAAAAATTCGGAAGTTCACCTTTAACAAATAATCAATCACGAATAATCCATCGTGTATAGAAGAGGATTTATTTGTAGCTGAGAAATTTTTATTTTTTATTTATTTTCGACTAATTCTAACTAATATACTTAATTCTAATTTATATTGTAAGAATTTCAAACAAATTTTTTTAAAAAATTGAAATTTAAACGATAATTTTGTGTTAATATGTCGAACACTGCCATCATATTTGCATTAAATCCTATAAATAATATTAAAAAATGTTATAAATAATGCTCTTCTAATTAGTTGTAGGTTTTTTAATGTCATATCAATCCCTGACAACTCGCCAGCTCGCGTAAAGCAGCCACGGTAGTGTCGCTGTGCGCACCTTAGCGCCGAGACTCTACCAGTGTCTTCAAATGATAAAATGTATTGTTTAAAATCTAAATGCAGTACCTTCTATTTATACCCATCTATGCGTATTAAAAAAATTTTTAAGGTTGCGGTCCGATATCCACTGCCAGTACTGAAAATGTATAATATACATAATGTGCACTATAGTTTTTTAACACTATAGCAGTGAATATCGGAATGCAGACCAAGTTAATGAATAACTCAACTTTTTGGACAGTCCATACTGAAATTTTTTTTTTTTTTTTGCAATTTGGAATGTCAATTTTAAAGATATGAAATATATTTTTCCCTAAATTATTTTTATTTCAGAGCTCTAAATTTTAATATAAAAAAGTAATTTCTCTCATTTTGTCGGCTGTAATTGTTATAACATTTATATACAATTTTTTTTAACACATAGGACGTCCGGTAAAGACCGTAACAGTGTTCAAACATAGATTCTTGAAATCATATTAAGATAAAAATCCTAATCCAAAATGTCGAGGCTATAACCCAGTGAGAAATGACAATGAAATCGACGTCGAAGCGACGTCGATTTGACGTCAATTCGATGATTTCGATGTCGAATCGACATCGATTCGACGTCGATTCCATTGTCATTTCTCACTGGGTAATAGTTTTTAAATTATAAGCATTTAAATTAGCGAATATATTACCTAAAATGTGCATTTATATAGGTTATATTGGTATTTTATGTTGGCGTTTATCCATCTATACGAATTTTAGGTAATATATGATTATATAACTTTAAATGCTTATAATTCAAAAACTTACAAAAAATTATAGCCTCGATATTTTGGTATTAGGATTTTCATTTCAAAATAATCTCGGGAATTTACCTTTAAACATTGTTACAGTCTTTACCGGACACCATGTATAATTTTATATGCTTTATATACATATGTATGTGTATCTAAAGATGTCACAGTATATATGTACAGTGTATATCTAAAGATGTTACAGGCTGTTTGGAAAGTAATGATAAATCTTTTGCATAGGGGCAGAACGGACTAAACTGAGAAGAAAAGTCCTATACCATTTTACGATTTTAGCAATAGTTGATAAGATATTAATTGCTAAAAATTGCCGAGAAAATTGGTCTTCAATAATTTTTTATTCAAATAATATCAACTTTACGGAAAAACTGTAAGAAACAAAAATCATTTATTTTCTTCTCATAGAACTCTAAGAATTTTTTCAGAATTTTTTGTCAACTTTTTAGTACTGTATTTTCTTATTTTTACCAACATGAAAATATAGGGTATTAAAAAATTTTGGAAAAATTTTCAAAACTTTATGAGAAGGAAATAAATAATTTTTGTCTCTTACAGTTTTTCTGTAAGGTTGATAGAATTTGAGTAAAAAATTATTGAAGACCAATTTTCGGCAATTTTTAGCAATTAATATCTTATTAACTATTGCAAAAATCGTAAAATGGTAGAGGACTTTTCTTCTCAGTTTAGTCCATTCTGCCCTTAAGCAAAAGATTTATTATTACTTTCCAAACACTCTGTATAGATATTATCTAAGAATTTTTGTATAGTTGTAAAAGTGATGCAAATTATGCCAGGACCCAAACAATCTATCAATATGTAATCCTTTACTACACATTACTTAACAATACGATGATTTCTCCGACCCTGAAAAATCATCATATATATTAAGGAATAATCTAGATATTACGTATATAAGCAATCATATCCTCCATCATTATATCCTTCATGAATTTATGCAAAAAAAATAAGTAATTTTAATTACATAAAAAATTTTGGTAAAAGCATCAATATATGGAAATAACGTACATCAATTTTTTAAATAGCATCAACCTATACTGCTAATATTCCAGTTTTTTGGAATGGGTGTAATAGGTATATCAGAAGTATTTATGTATAATTGGCCAGCAGAACATTTGATGTATACGGTAAATTACTAATTATTTAAATCTGTTATATTATAATTCATTTTATTATACAAAATGTTTATTACTTTTATATGTTTATTATCTAGAGCAAACATGTCGCAGAAATAGCATTTCATATGCTCGAAAACAATCATTTAATTAAAATGTGGAAATGTCTACAAATTATTATAATGAGAAGTCAAAAACCAGTAACGGTTTCAATGCCTTGCTTTCTGCCCATATTGTCCCTTAATTATTTTACATCGGTAAGATCAAGTTGCAAATTGGTTTAAAAAAATAATTAAAGTTTACTTACATATTTCAATTTATGTTAATTATTTATCCCAAGCAACAATTCGACGTCTTGGGCATCTTTGGACGTCCAAAATATGTCCTGAAAAGTCCCGTTTATATCGCTATACATATATGTTAAATGCCTAAAATACGTTCCAAGATGATGAAGTTATTTACATAGATATTTTAGGGATGTCCTCCAAGATACGTTGCTAATATGTTCAATTTTCAAGTAGTGCGCAAACAAACGTTGTCAGAAAGACCCGAAGACTAACAACTATCAAACAACTTTATATATTATACTTTCATCTTGGAGCCTAATAATTATTCAGTATCCTTCTCTTTGTTTCCAATAACTTATAGATCAGAAAAAATGAATAATTTTCTACCATTCAGGATTGAACGATACTAACGACGTCTATTTATATAATAAAAAAATATTTCTTTGTGTGTGTGGATGATATATTATACGTATGAAAGACATTTACGGAATTTGGTTTAGACGTTCATATGATGTCGAATTGTTGCTTAGAGTGTTAATTATTCTATACATATACAAATATCTTTATACATTAATGTACAGGGTGTTTGAAAATTAATGATAAAACTTTCGCACAGGGGCAAAATGAACTTAACTGAGAAAAAAAGTCCTCTATACCATTTTACAATTGTCGCAATGGTTAACAAATTATTAACTTATGAAAATAGCCAAATTCGCCCAGCTCACCACCAAATGCAATCGCGCTACAGGATAGTACTCGCCCCGCGCGACGAGGCGCGCGTCCGCCGTCGCTAGAAACGTTTATAAGCGGCAATTGCCGTCGCTAGACATTACGTGCCTAGTGACGGCAAACGCGCGGGCAGTCCTAGGATGTGATTCACTTAACGTTGCAAATACTTCGTTGACCAATCAGAAGAAAGAATTTTACGAATTGACCAATCAAAGAATGCTTCAAAGTATTTGCAGCGTGAAGTGGATTGCACCCCTAGAGTCCCTAGAAAACCAGAATCTGACCATGCCCTAAAAATGACGTGCGTGTCCGAAATATGTGTTTGCTATCAATTAATGATATGGATGTATGTGCGTTCTCGATTGGTACTGTCATGTATGGACACGCGCGCCAATCACAAGAGAGGATGAAGAGATGGCCAGACTCTAGTATTCTAAGGACTCTATAGGCAGTTCTGTCACGCGTTTACATTTGGCGGTGAGCTGAGCGAATTTGGCTATTTTTATAAGTTAATAACTCATTAACTATTGCGACAATTGCAAAATGGTAGAGGACTTTTCTTCTCATTTTAGTCCATTCTACGCCCTATGCGAAAGATTTATCATAAATTTTCAAACACCCTGTATACAAAATGACAGCTTAAAAAATTTTTTTAATTTTTAATTATTATTTCAAGCATTAATAATATTTATACGGGGTGTCCCGTAAGTTTTTGCCAACCACTTTTGTGTAGATAGAGCGGACTAAACTGAATCGAAAAGTTCTCCATTTTGCAATTTTTGCAATAGTTAACAAAATATTAATTATTAAAAATGATATTGGTCTTGAATAATTTTTTACTCTAATACTATCAACAAAACTGTAAGAAACAAAAATCATTTATTTTCTTCTCATAGAACTCTAAGAATTTTTTCAAAATTTTTTGTCAACTTTTTAGTACTGTATTTTCTTATTTTTACCAACATGAAAATATACGGTATTAAAAAAAATTCTGAAAAAATTCTGAAAAAATTCTCGAAACTTTATGAAAAGAAAATAAACAATTTTTGTCTCTTGCTATTTGTCTGCAAAATTGATAGTATTTGAGTAAATAATTATTGAAAATCAATATTCAGTAATTTTTAGTAATTAATATCTCGTTAATCATTGCGAAAATTACAAAATGGTATAGGACTTTTCGATTCAGTTTAATCCGCTCTATCTATACAAAAGCGGTTGACAAAAACTTACGGGACATCCTGTATAAATATTATCTTTTATGTAATATTTTCTCATGTGTTTATGTATAAATATTATCTTTTATGTAAAAATATTTGTTATTATGTGTGTTACAGTATCTTTCAACTATACTCTCCTATTTCACTTCCCTGCGAGTAATGATGGAAAATGATAACAATTAAATATACAAACACAGTTGAAATACTTGCTTTTAATGTTTGCAAAATTTTTATAATTGTATAGTATTGTAGAAGTTTTTATAATCGTGTAGTTACTGAAATATAACTGCTACTACTATTATTTCTCTCTCTCTCTCTCTCTCTCTCTCTCTCTCTCTCTCTCTCTCTTAAAAAAAATTGGATCATTAAATTCGAAAATAATAGTAAACTGAATTAGAGTGTTATTATTACAGCATTATTGATAAATATTTTACTTCAAAGTTTATAAAAAAAGTTTATACACTATTTACCCATACATTTTCAAATGCTACTACTTGCTATTAATCTCTAAAAATAACAGAAATAAAAAATACATTACAATTCTGTAAAAATTAAACATTATAATAAACATTCCTCCTGAGAAAACTGTCTGATAAAAATAAAAATCGGATACAAGTCGAATGCATAAAGAACAGTATCAGAGGCATAAATGGAGTTCCTAAGAAACGAAAATCGAAACAACGAGATGTAAAAACCTTTATGCTTCTTTTACAGCTCGTTATTTCAATTTTCTGCTGTTACTCTTCTCTTCAACTTACACTCCGATTTTTATTTTCGCCAGAGATATTAACTCCAAAGAACTAAATTTCTTGGAACGAAACAACTTTGATTAGTACAAAATGTGTGCCTAAATAGAAATACGAAAGAATATATTGAGTTTTTTTTAAATCCAAAATATACATTATTGTAATAATTTTGAAAATGCATTATCTAATTACAATTTTATTTAATTTTAACCCTAATATAAGAGATTTTAACTTTTATTTAAAGACTATTTAAACTTTTGAAATATAAGAAAAAGATTTTCTATATAAAAATTCGAAACAGTTTTAAAAGTTTCAAAGACATAGACTATAATGCACATTTTGCAAAATTTGAAATTTCTTTTAATACGCATTTAAGAACCATTAAAGTAAAAGTCAAACATACGTAGCTACAGTGTATTAAAGCCATTTATTAGAATCGTCTAAACGGCAATTAAATTGAATTGAGTAGAAAATCTGAGCAATGAGACATTGCCATGTCTAGTATTAATTTGTCTAGTAGTAATTTTAATTTGTATCCAATGGTATTGTTCAAAATTTTGCGGTTATTCGAGAATATTTATATTCTAACGATTTATTGTTGAAATTAATTCAGAGCATAACCTTTTAATTTCAAAAATCCAAAGTAAAGTTTAAGAAAGACAATTATTCCTATAATAGATTTACTATATCTACCTGTAACGCCAGCCTGGCATAAAACAGCTGACAGGCAGACGTCACTATAGCGAAAGACGGCATACACTATAGCCCTAACAAATTCCTACACATATATAGCTCTCCCTCCATCTTCCCTGCTCTCCCCTCTTTTCTAGCTCTTGACTATTCCGAGCGCATCCTCCTTTTTGCTGTCACACCCCCGTGCCTCCCCTGAGCAGGGATCACGCACCCACCTCCTCATCTCAGGAGAGCAGACTCGCCTGCTCCTCCGGGAACTCTTATAAACTACTTTTTTTATTATTTCTTTCTCTTTCTCTCTCCTGTTGGCTATGCCTAACCCTTCGTCATGCCTATAGATGTCGCAATCTAGACGAGGAGGCTGGCGGAACCAGTTGCGGCGCTTTATCAAAGCCCTGCACGCTCACGGGGACTTTGATCCTAGGGTGTTAGGACCGTCGCCCGGCCCCATCGAATCGGGCCCGCCATCCGCGGAACCCGTCGCGTTGGTGCCCGCTCCCCGTTCACCCTCCACGCAAGGGTGCGTTCCCCTCCGCGTGACGCAGCTATACCGGCTCCCGATACTTCCCGGGCCCCGTAAGGATCCCCACCAGGCCTATCAAGGTCACAGGTGTCGATAGGTATATTATATGTATGTTTTTGATATTATATTTAAAAATATAGATAATATTACAGTCAAATCTCCTTATTCTTTACTTCCCTTACTTTGCCATTTCCCTTCTTACGTTCATCATTGTTTTTATTTGCGTCACCACTTTATTATGCATTACTTTTTTAATTCGAGTATAGTTAAGTAGTCATGCAAATAATTATAAAATGAGAACGGAAAGTAAAAATGGCAAATAATATAAAAGCAGAGAATAAAAAATATTCAAGGTTGTATATCTTTTAACAAAACTATCTTATAAATAATTTAACTATATATTTATTATTCTATGTTACAGTATCTTTCAACTATACTCTCTTATTTCACAACACTGCGAGTAATAATGGATAATTAAATATACAAACACAATGTGTTGCAGTCAAAATACTTGCTTTAAACAATTAATGTTAGCAGAAAAAAACTATATGTTTTATATTGTGTTGCAAAGTTGCTGAAATATACTATTGCTTCAGGTATTATTTGATTCAAAAACAATAAATTGAATCATAATTGTCATTATTATAGTATTAATAATAAATACCACTTTAGGAGATGTAATGTTATATTAGTTTTTATTGCAATATATTTTCAATTGTCACTACTTGTTATAAATCTCTGAGAATAAAAAAAAATAGAAAATAAATTACAATTTTGAAATATTATACATAATAATAATAATTTTCATATATTATTTCCCGAATGTAATATTATAAATAGTATTAATTTTTTCACAAATTGAATTTACAATCGTTATTAACGTAAAAAAAAATTCATAATCAATAATCTTCCCTTTTATTGCCTCATTCATACTGTCATAACTTAGTGTCATAAAAAAAACAAAATTAAAAATAATTAAAACGATATTTACTGTAGACTACATATATTGATCCTCTTTTCAAAAACGAAAGTGAAAGTTAATTGTAAGAAGGTTACGCATATCAATAAACGATGATAAAATGTTAAACTTTTTACTAAGGGTGGGATTTCATTTGTGCGTTTTTGTCGTATGACAAATATATGCAGGATAGAGAGATCCTCGAATCTCTCTATTCTATAGCTAATCAACAGGCTTGAAAAATTTGTCGTATGACAATAACGCACAAATGAAATTCTACTGCTTCAACTATTTTAACATAAAATTCCAAGCACAACAAAGTAGCGTTTATTTCCATCTTTATTTCTAAAGCATTTTGATGAAACTAAGGTTGCATCGGAAAATTTTATCGTATGATGAATATCAGGAACAATTGCTATAGCGTGTAGCAACGATCTTCAATTACTTGCATATTCCATGACTTATAAATCATTCTCAACCTAGTATTCATCACATTACGTATAATGATAGAAAATAATAGTGTTCAAGAAGAATTCTTTTATGCTTTCAAAAGAAAGAATTCAATGCACAAGGTATATATTAAATTAATGCATTGAATATCTCTTGCGAGGAGTGTATACTTCTTTTAGAACTTATAGTAAGAATTCTACAGATATTTGTGGAGTTTAAATCTGCTAGGTAATATCATTCTTCTTTTATAAGAATTACATCGTAGAAATATATTCGAGGAAGTCCATTAGAACTTCGTTTGTATAAAATTTTCTTCTATGTGCATTCGCTTATTGTATTATAATACTGCAATTCTTTTCCAAGCAAGAATTTTTTCGTATACGTTTCTCGTAACGTGTGCACATGTGTACGTAAAATGATCATGAAGAAGAACTTGACATTAAAGAAGGTGATCACGATCGTAAAGATAAGTTTGTTCATAACATGGTGCTGGCCTCTTCCAAAAGACACAGTTAAGCTTAAAATTATCTGTGCGGGACTATACCAATATCTGTGTCTAATGTTAACTTTAGGTCTAATCGTAGGACTAACGAACACAGTTAAAAACCATCTAAATGATCCTCTCATCATGGCAAAATCAATAATCATAATATGTCCTATGGTGCATGTTGTTTGCAATATCATAAGTTGTAAAATTAATTCACGTCGTCTGCAAGTAATTAGTATAAAATATATTTAATAAGAAGTGAAATTTTAAAAGTGGAATATCGGATGTAAAATAAAGCTTATCTCGAGACATGCTATTTCTTGTACATTTTGCATGTATAATATCGGTCTAATCGATTTCAGTTGGTAACTTTCGAAATGGAAAATTTCTGTCAATTAATTAAACCTCACGAAGAAGCAACTATTCAGCAATACATTAGCAAATGCGTTTACTTCTACGGTGGCTCTATGCTTTGGATTTATTTAAGTGCTGTTTTCGTCATCACTGGACCTGTCACGCTAGATCAACCGTTTCCAACAAACGCCGAGTACCCGTTCGTCATTTACCAGCAACCATTAAAAAGTATCGTATTCGTGCATCAGTCTGTTGTATGTCTTCAAGCTTCTGCTCAGCTATGTATGAATATTTTCATGGCTCTTCTGCTTTGGATTACCACAGCGAGATTTGAATTATTAGTCAAGGAGTTACGAGCAGTCACCAATGTTCATGGTTTAGTTCAATGCATTCGACAACATCAAAGATTACTACAGTAAATATTTAAAAATATTTATATTAGGTCTGTTCCTTTTCTAGATTCCAGAACTGAATATCTGCACGATTTATTTTTTTTATCTTTTTCTTTCCAATGGTTGTTCTCAGCAGAAATAGCAGCTCTTTGCAATTGTTGTAAATTTTTTTTAATATAATTCGTCTTGCTCTTAGTTTCTACCACTGAATCTAAATGTATAAACCAACTATATTAAAGAATTTTACAATAGTTGCAAAACTACTTTTTCTAATGGACGCAGCTAATGTGAAAAGAAGATAAAGACAGATGAACTGTGCAAGAAATTCCTAGGGTATGAAAAAAGAAACAGAACAAGCCTATTATTATAACATTTTAATCATAGAGATCAAATTTAAGATAAAATGTTCAATAAAATTCAAGCATACCAAGCATAAACTGACTTAGAAAGTAATATATACTACAAATAATTATAATAATGTTATCAAACATATTTTTATAGATCATTATTATTAAATTTATAGACCAATATTATTAAATATTTTTTTTTTCAAATAGTCATATTTTAATTTTATATTTTAAAGTTTTTGCATTTTCATAAGTAAATCTATTATAGATCTTTGAACAAGATTTCCAATTTTGGAAATCTATCACAGTTATTTTAATGTTAAAAATGTCACTTTTAATTATTAATCATATATCTATATTACATCATCTTAAACTGTATCTTATTAAAAAAGTAATTTTTTCTAAATTTACTCAGCAAGAATTTATCATACTGTATTTTCTAAACTTTTGGAAAAATTTATATATACACAAGGTGTCCCGAACTTTTTTGCCAATCACTTTGGTGTATGTAGACAGAGCGGACTAAACTGAGTTGAACAGTTCTCTACCATTTTGCAATTTTCGCAATAGTTAACAACATATTAATTACTAAAAATTGCTAAATATTGGTCTTGAATAATTTTTTACTCAAATCTTAACTCTACTATCAACTTTACAGAAAAACTGCAAGAGACAAAAATCATTAATTTTCTTCTCATAAAGTTCTGAGAACTTTTTCAGAATTTTTTATCAACTTTTTAGTACTGCATTTTCTTATTTTTACCAACATGAGAAAATACGGTATTAAAAAATTCTGAAAAAGTTCTTAAAAAATTCTCAGAACTTTATGAAAAGAAAATTAATTATTTTTGTCTCTTACAGCTTTTCTATAGTTCATAGTATTTGAGTAAAAAATTATTCAAGACCAATATTTGGCAATTTTTAGTAATTAATATCTCGTTAACTACTGCGAAAATTGCAAAATGGTAAAGAACTTTTCGACTCAGTTTAGTCCGCTCTATCTACACAAAAGTAATTGGCAAAAAAGTTCGGGACACCCTGTATAAAAACAAGATATTTTAACAAGATTGTTCAATATATACATCCATTTTAGATATGCACAAGAAGTGGTTGCCATAGTTCGCCCCTTTGCATTGACAACTATAAGTCTTAGTACTTTTGCATTAATAATAATAATCGGTCTTATTTTTATTACTGTGAGTATTATAGTATATTATTAATGATAACATTATTAATAATACTGTATATATGTTTTGTAACTTTAAATGTGTGTGAAAAAGAACTAATTCTCTCAATTTTACATTCGCGTTTATTCCTTTTTATACTTTATGTGTTATTTATTATTATTCGCATTATAGCATATTCTCTGGAAATTAATTAAGACTAAAAATTTTATAATAAAAATGTGAATGTTATACTATACTATAACTTATGAATTATAAGCAATTAAAAAGTTGATCATTCTAAGCCAGTAAAAACTGCATATAATAGTTCATTTTCCACTTCTTATTAATTTTTAGTTGTTTAATAAAAAAAGACATTATGTAAAAATATTTCCAATCACAATAATTTCATTCTTTATCAATTATCTAATAAAACAAAATTTATATTTTTTGAATGGACTGAAGTATTTTAAATTTAAACTCTATACGATATCAACAGTTAATATTATTCATTTTAATTATTACTTTTGCTAATTTTATAAATTATTATATTTAAACATTTTTGTATTAAAATTTTTTATTTTAGTTAATTTCCAGAATTAGTTCTTAAAATATTGTCAATAGTTGTGTGATAGAACAGTATCTGCACTGAGAGAAAAACTATTTGGTATTTGTAACTATA